GGACGAGTGAGAGAGCAGAGAAGAAATCAGGGGCCTGCTTTCATGCTACTTTCAGATGAAGTACGACCCTCTACTCTCTAAATAGTTTTGTCTTTGTCCCGTGGGAGTGGAAAGCAGATGGTACTGTACCTCGTGCCACAGATGTGTTTGGTCATTTCACTGGAAAGTCACACTGCAGCCAGCTGGTCTGGTTGTCTCCAGGCACTTTTGAGAAGATTGGTCTTCCCCCGGCTGTCGTGTTCTGATGTTTAAAGATAGGTAGACTTGCCACTGAGACTTGCTTCTCATCAGAGAGTCTGCTGGATGCCATCGTGTTGTTATTGCCTCTGTAGGAAGGGTAATGTCTTACCTTTGGATATGGAACTCCTCTCTGAGTGTTGTTGAAGAAACTCAATATCCGTGAAGTCCTTTAGTCCTCTGGTTCACACTCTCTTGGGACCCCAGGGCTGGACACAGAGTTGATCATGTTGGCCTTGAAAACTTGAGAATGTGCCAAATCTCTAAGCATCTTGAATGAAATCATGAAACACTTCATTATGTTTTTGTCAAAAGCCATATGACCCAATAGAAATACCTACTACAAGAAAAATGGTAGCAAAACAATTCTTGCAACCAAATTCATAAATGGCAAACCACTAAGGTGACAAGTATTACGTATCTGCTTTCTGAAAGGAGAAGGTAACCTGAACATAGGAATAGCTTTATTTATCATCACATTGGTATTAGAGGCAAAGCAAGTATTACATATGCATTTCATTTTCTGGTGCAAAGGACATTTTGATTAATTAAAATGTTAAAACCTCCAACAGGAGGGCTGCTTTTGCAGGCTGGATTTCTTTGGCTGACTTTTAGGGGAGCTGGGTAGAAGTCATTACTACAGTGAGGGAGTGCAACTGTGAAGCATCCCATGTTCCTCAGTTTTCGGTGAAAACAGCACTGTGAGACCAGCCTTGGTGGATGAGGTACGCAAGTGACCCTTCTGCCCTCTGTTCATGGCAAGCATCCTTTTCTAATATGAAAGGCTCTGTTTACCCAAGATGCCCCAAGATAGAATAATATGATCCTTCCAGTTTGATGAGAATGGTTTCTGATGACAGTATACGCCTTCATCATCAGCTTATGTTCTTTAATTTATTGACAGCTACTTAGTGAGTATCTGCTTTGACATAAACTGTGCTGGACTTGGGAAGAAGTTAAGATCAGTGTGTTCACATCTTATAAAAATGTATGCAAATTTTAAGTGGATATTTCCAAAAGTCTAATTTTATGCACAGAATTTAAAATAATGCAAATCACCCCAAATTGTAAACGTCTGTCAAGAGTCACATAATTTCCAAGCTGGCAGGCCTAGTGCATCTTAGCGTCTGACGCAGTTACCAGACGCCAACACCAATTTGCCTGGGAAGCAGATGTCCACCTTGCACTGGCAGGATCCCACTCTCACTTCCTCCCACTAGGACTTCTACAAGTGACTTCAGTGACCACCGCACTGTCTGTCATTCTAGGACCAGTCAGGTGTGAAATCAGAGCACAGCCCTCAAGATCCTGAATTTCAGTCTGAATTTCAGCTTTCATAGGGCAGGCACATCTAGCCACACTGGCTTTGGAATTGTTTTATATCCCTACATTCGCTATTACTATTATTATGACTTAAAATGCCCTTATTATCTTATAACCATAATGTAATATCTGACCTGTATTGACCACTTATCATGTACCAGGAGCTGTCCTAACCACAAAACTCAATGAATTGTAAGTACTCTTATGCACCCATTTTAGAGATAAAAACCTTGCTGTGTAGAAGTTAAATAACACCTTCCAGGTCACTCAGCTATTATGTGGGGAGACCACCAAACCACAATACCTCTGAGGCAAGCTCATTCAAGCCTTTTTTTCTGCTAGACCTGAATATCCCACTCCAAAAAATCATCAAGTATAGAAGAATTTAAAACTGGTAAGGAATACAAAGAAAGCAAAACAGCCACCATGAAGCACTCCCCAAAATATATTGCTACCCATTGGATACTACTGGAAAATTGGTCTTGTGCTGTGTTAATTTAGTATCTTTTCTTTCTAAAACATCAATCCCAACCTCAAAAAGTTTGCAGATCGCATTTAGAGTAGTACCTGCCATTAAGTGATCACACCGTTCAGGGGACCTTACTATGTACTGCCTCTACATTCTCCTCACACCAGCCCTGCATGGCAGCTGTTGTCAATTCCAGGCATGTCTTAGAGATGACAGATTGGTGATTCCAAACTCCCTACTCAGGGACCCCAGCTCAATTCATATCTTTTTGAGTTGTAAAATACTCAACTTTTAATCTCAATTGATATACAATTGATATAGTAAAATTGATAACAGTGACAACATCTATGTTTAGCCTGTAACTGATTCTAGCAAGCATTCTCCAGAATTTGAGGTTGCAGATGGACAGACGCAAGTCGATAAACCCAGTGAAGACCACAAACCCTAGCTAGGGGATCTCAGCCCAGCACGGTGACTGCATACCTTTCCCTACCACCCATGAGGACTCCCTCAGGCATATACAGCCTGTTCCCCACAGCTCTCATGGGCTCCCAAATTATGTTCAGCCTTCAAGAAATCTAGATTTCACTTCCCTTCAAATAACAGATTGGTATAATAGGAGCACAGTTAACCGTATTCAGAAGCCATGGATAAGATAAAGCCAGCCTATGTGTGAGTGCACAGCAGAAAGCTAGAGCTTCATCTCTTTGTTGTAACCTGAAGGCCCTGTCTTGCCATCTTCCAGAGCCCAGAACCAGCCTCAACAGTGACAAGCCGTGGACTGAGGAACCCCAGGATTGTTTCAGGTGCTGGCAGCCACACATTAGGCGTATTTTCAAGAGTATACCCCAACACCCAAAACAGACAGTCTGCTTCCAAAATTGTAAATTTTCTTGCTTGGAAACACACCGGATGTTTATTTTTTTGTTTCTGCATTTGCAATGCCTTCCGCCTTTATTTTTGAATCACAGGAATCAAATCACCATCCCTTGACATCTCCATACTTCCAAAATATAAGATTCATTAATTGTGTCTTTTCAGAGTCCGGTCTATTTTAGCAATTATACTTGATTGATTTACCCAAGACATGAGTTTGAGATACATACATGTTGGGTTTTTATAAGTCTGTGGTATTTCAGCAAAAACAACTGATTGTGTGATGCAGTGATTCTTTTCCCAAATAAAGTCAGGCTTTGGCTCAGGTCTTAATCCCTAAGAATACATGGCTGTAATTCTTGGTTTCTCAGGAAAGTCGTTAGTCGTTTCTGCGTCATCGCCATAACTATAGACCTGCCCTGTGACGCTCCCACCCTTCATGTCAGGGGCTTGTTTTATACAGGCTCCTTGCCCAACCTGACAACTCCATTAAAGAGCGTTCACATGTGCCGACCTACAGCCTTTTCAAGGGAGACGTGAAGTTTCCTTTCAGACTTGCAGCCTTACATACTGTTGGCTAAGCCACGCGGAGAGAGATAACCTATTTACATACTAAAAAGGTCAGTGTTGGACAATCAGCAGTTAGGGATGAATTTGCTGCTGCTTGCAACTGGAGCATAAGAATTGGGGAGAAGCCGGCAATTTTGCTGTCTCTTTATCTGTGTAGACAGCAAGCACTGGTAAATGTGAGAGTGTCTGTTCCGATCCATGAGAGCGGTATTGCACAGAGGATGCCAGTGATGGGCAAGCTCGTCGTGTAGAGCCTTTCTGTTTACTAATGGGTAGGTGACCATGTGATGACGCGGGTCAGCCTCACCTACTAAAAACTGTAATTAATTGGAGGTGGGAATATTTGTATAATAGCTTTTCAGGCTCCTAGTAAAACATAAACTGTCATAATAGACTTTAAAATCTGTGGCTGCCGCTTACTTACCCTTCTATCTGCATTACAAAAGGTGGACTTTTGGAGGGCTTAAAACATTTCTTTGTGTGATCTGTTTTTTCAAAATCTCTTTAAATATCGGCAGTTTTATTGTGCTAATGTGTGTGGAAAGTGTCTTGAAAAGTGTCATTATAAAGGTATTGGTTTTCTCTGAAATCTCTATAATGTTCTTACTCCTTAACCATTTGTAAACTTAAAGCAAAATAATTAGTTAATTCAGATCCATGCGTCCATCTTAAATGTCGGGATATAACCTAAGAGTAAAGTCACTCTTGGAGGTAAAAAACTAGTCCAGAAGGCAGTTGGTGAGTGTGAAGCTCCTTGGTTATAGATAGCAGACAATCTCAGGCAAGCAAACAGCCATTGTCCTGTGCTCCCTAAAACTGTAGAACATTCAGAGCTTCTGCTCAGAAAAGAGAGCGCCCCATCTAAGAGTACCTGTGTCGAGGTCACATCTCAACCATGGCTGCTTTCCAGAAGTCTCCGGCTGCCACACAATCTCACCCCAGGTGAGATCATCGTGCATTAGTGGGCATCCACATCAGCAGCTGATGTCACCCAGGTTCTCATAGGGACCCTGTGCTGCACTTCATATACAGTGTCACCCAGGGGATTTATGAAGCCTGATGTGGAACTGGGCTCACTCTGTCTTTAGAGGCAGAGGTGGCTTCCAGGAAGAAGTTATTCTGTGTGTACATACACATCCCAGGTGGCTCAGTGTGCCAATCTGTTTAGTAGTTTGTGGGGTTCTTTGATTCCTCTGACTCCGATTTAAGGAGAGAGGAGTCAGTGGCAGTGACAAGTTGGCCTTTCACTGGCCATCCAGCAGCATCTCATAGAGATTATTTGAAAGTGGCTGGCATACAGTCACCATCTTTTGAGCCTGGATCACATCTGTCTTTTATGACCACTGTTCTAAAACAGACCCTAGGAGCATAGGCTGTGCTGAGGATGAGACTGTCTGAACAGAAGATGGTTTCCAATGGTGTCTGCACTTTACGTCCCCAGACCTGGGGCCACTGTGACAAGGGGTTGACTGCTATGCTTGTTCCCTCAGAGCCAGAACCTCACTTCCCTCCCCCTCTTTTGCAGATTACTCGGCAGAACAGGCACTTCACCAGTCGGTGTTCATGTCTGCCGTGTCGGCCCACCCTTTCCGGGACCTTCCTCTCGGCAGGGAGCAGCACTGCAAGCTGCTTCCAGGCGTGGCTGACATCCAGGCCAGCCGAGTAGCCCAATGGACCGTGGATGAGGTGAGCCGAGCTGTCCGGGGCCCTGGGCTGGCCCTGCCTGCCTCTGAGGTTCTCTGCTGCCTGGGAAAGTCCCCCTTTGTTCTAGGTGTTGCATCTACCACATAAAGTTTAAAATCCAGGTGGGAGGGAGCAGCCAGACCCGACTTAGAGGAATGAGGAAAGCCCAGTGCTTGCCCAGTCAGCTCTGCCCCTCCTCTCCCCAGCCTCATGCCAGTGCCTCCCTGAGCCCCACACCATCGGCCCCGTGCTGATTGAAGCAGAGAGGCTTCAGCCTCCACTTCCACCTCACAGACTTAATTTGGAAAGTACAAATGTATAAGCATCTCGGGCTTATGTTCCAGCCTCGTCTTCTCTGGGAGAGAGAGGCCACCCAAAGATATCTGGTGCCTTGAGGGATACCTTTGCCTTGTGGTCCTCATGGGGTCCACACATACTCACTGCAGGGCAGGTCCCTGCTGCTGGTGTGCTCACCCAGAGCCAAGATGATCAGGTCAACCTTAAGTTCATTTATAAAGTGTGTTTGGCCACAACCTTATGTAAGAAACTGCACAGAGGGAAAAGTTGGATCAGATTTTAATATAAACATGCCTTCCAATACTGGTTATTAATAACAATCAGTGAAGCCCCATTGCTCACCATAATGTTATAGAAATGCTTCATACTTAAAACATATTTAAAAGTTGCCTTTTAAGGAATTCACCCTTTGACTGAAATTCCTTTTGTTAAAGGTCCGTTTTCACTAGCCAGACCTTAGGCAAATTGTTTTTCAAATGAAGGAAAACCCTGGGTCACCCTAAGGACAAGATCAGAGCTGGAGCTAGTCACAAAGTGCTCATGAAGAACTTACTGCAGTCACCTGAGCTCAGTCTTGGCTTAAGCCTTCCTTCCCAGCCTCAGGCCAAGGAGCAGGCAGGCTGAAGTCTGCCCAGAAACTGGAGCCGTTCCTTGTCAGCGCTGCCATTTTCGAAGGAGGACTGAGATGGCTCCTCTGCTCTCTTTATCGCAGGGCTTGTGGCCCCTCTTGTAGAGCAGGAGGGGCTGCCTATGTTTCCCCAGCTTGCCTGCCCACCCCACCTCTCCTCCACTCCTTCCAAAGGGCCATATGGTCCTGGCCATGGAGCGTTGACTGAATATGCCAGGTGCCAGCTGGGTGTTGGGGGAACCACTAATATGTGATCCTGCTCTTTAAGTAGTATCCAGAGACTGCCCCTCGCTTATGCATTTGTACAAGTTTACAAAGTGTGCCCTGGCCTCATGGCCAAGCCCACTGAATTAAAACCTACTGTGTCTATAATCAAATCATGCATGGTTTTGCCCTTGAAACAACACTGCACAAAATGGGGAGTTCAACGGAGAACTTCAATGGCAAGTCATTCATTCCTGACTTACAAACCATTCATCTGAAGCGCCACCTTTTTTGAAGTAGGACTGAGATGGCTTCTCTGCTCTCCTTGTCCCTGGGTGCGTGGCCCCTCAGGTCGTCGTTGTCCTGCTCAGAATGATGTCCTGGGGACAGCAGCCACCAGGATCCCAGCCCCACTCCACTCTGACTTTGCTGTGGATGGGCTGGCAGAGATACCAGTAAGGCCCCTTCGGCCCCTGCCAGCCAGCCTTGCGTATTCAGAGCGACCGAGTCCTGAGACTGGGGAACGTGGCAGAGAAGGCTGAAGCCTGAGCAGGTTCCAGCGCACCTCAAAGCAGGTCCTGGCTCCCTATAACTTCCTCTGCCTGCCCTGGAGACCTGTGTGTTCTGTCCTTGCCTGCCTTCCCATTCCCACCCTCCCCTCCTGCCCTGTGGTGTCCTGCTGCTCTAGTCTCCATTTGCCACGTTGTTCTCACACACAGTGCCACCCTCTCCCACTGCCCGCTGCCTCCACCAGCCTACGGCTCCAGATACACCTCCACCTCTTGCAGGAGCCTCCACTCTGGGCCAGAGGTCACACCCATCTTAGCATCTGTACTCCTGTCTAACCCCCCACCAGATAAGAGATCCATCTCACTCACTTGGCGTGACATCTTGAGGACCTCTCACTAAACCTAGTACTTAGTAGACATCCAGGAAATGTTTGTTGAATGAATGTTGAATGACAAGGGAATCAATTATGAGCTGAATTTTGAAACAAAAATAGAATGTATCTAAGCAGAGAAAAGAAGGAGAGCCATTCCAGTTGAAGGGGAAACAGAGGAGTGAGCATGACAGAAGTGGGTATGACAGACTCAAGGATGGCAGACATGCAGCATGTCCCTTACTGGCATTAATAATGATAATGAACTATATTAATATAATATTAGTAAGGCAGATACTCTGCCCACCTGACACATGGGAAATTGAGATACCACAGACAAAGTGACTTGTTTAAGGCCACACAGTCAGAGCCAGGCCCTGAGCTGACTTCCTGCCCACCCTGCTCCCTGTGGACCTAGGCACAGAAGAAAGTGACCTGGAACAGGGAGATGGACCAGGTGTGAAAGGCCTCACAGGCCAGGCAGTGGGTGTGCATGGCACTCAGTCTGCTGGACAGAGCATTTTCAGTTCTTATGCAGAAAGTCACTGTGGAGATGAGAATGGCAGAGATCAGCAAAAAAGGAGGGTGAGAAGACGCTGAGGAGAAAGTGATGCCCAGGAAGTGAAACACTGAGGACCTGGACTGGGCACTGCCATGAGAAGAATCCAGATTTAATGGACATTTTAGAACCACAAAGGAAATAGATTAGACATAGAGGGTGAAAAAATGAAACATGCCAAATGTGACTCTGTTTATAGTCTCAGCAGTACACACTTAGTACTTGATTAGGATAACAATAGGAGATCTGAAAGGCCTAAAGTGTCCTTCCCAAAGAATGGAGAAATAGTGCTACCATCCGAAGAAGGGAAGTTTCAGGAAAGGATGCAGTTTGGGGTCGGGGGATAACATGATTGGCCGGGTGGAGTGAGAGAATCCACTGAATCACACCAGTGGGTATAGAGATGTCCCAGTGGACAGAAACTGGAGACAGGTGCCCTTAAAGGGTATAAGAAAAGGGCACCGAGGTCCACTCCCCGAGGACAAGTGTCCAGAGATAGCCTCTGAGGACTGAGGTCGGGGTTGGTGGGAACTCGGTTAGAAAGTGCAGGGGAAAGAGGGGCTGCCAAGGGGCACTTTGAGAAGGAGCCGCAGGGAGTCCCTGGAAGAACCATGTCAAGGGGAGACATGTCACGAGTACGTGATGCCACAGGGCAGATGTCATAGTCAGGTCAAGGCTTCCTGACTGGAGTCATGGAGTTGTGCTTCTGGAGATTTGGGGAAAGTGTTTAGGGTGTGCACATTTTTAAATGAAAGAGGGCCAGAGCTTTCATTAACTTCTCAGGGATACCGTCATACAAAAAGGACAGGAACCATTGTTAGGGACACTAAGGAAGTTTCAAGTTTGGCACTTAAAAGCAAAAGCAAGAAGCTGGAAGGTGAATCAAGGGAAGCAGCTGGTTCGGTGAAAGTCTCACTAGGATAGCGAAGGCTCAGAGGAAGACTCCAAGGAGGGAGACTGTTGGGGACATTCGATGCCAGTTCCTAAGTTCTCTGGAATGGGTACAGGTGGAATCTCAGCCCTTTATTACTGGAAGAGGCCTTAGAGCTTTTGTAGATTTAAAAAAATCACCCATTGGAAAGGCTAAGTGCCTTGGATAAAGTGCTCCTGCTTGTGAAGCTTCTGTAACCATGGCTTCCATCAGGGATGCATTCCAGAGGAGACCGTTTTCATTATTCCCTAATGTTGCAGTATCTTAGTCTTAATATCTCCCTAACTTGTCCTTGAGGACAAGGACTACATTCTGAATTTCACCAAAACAGGTCCTCAAGAATAATCTTTGGGTGGGTTGAAAATGTGGGCTTTGTGTTCTGTTTGTATCTTTGAAAATAAGGAAGTCCACGTAGGGGGCACCCAGTGAGTACCAGCCTACAACAAAGGTGAGATGGCTGATAGAAGCGAGCAGGGTGTGGTGATGGTTTGAAAAGGCAGTTCAAGGCTGAGCCAGATCAGTGGGGATGGAGGGCCTTTGTGCTCTGTTAACGCTGCACATATTGGAGAGGGACCTCAGCAGCCAGGGACAGGGCATGCCAAAATGAACTTGGGCATCCTTGTGTTATGTGCCATTCAGCGAGACTTAACACCGTGTCTGTGGCAGAAGATGAAGTGAAAGAACATTCCCTTTGTCTGCCTTCCTGGCCTGGGAGGAAACCTCTGCTCTGCGTTATGCTACCTGGGAAGAGAAGCCAATGCAAGGCCTTTGTAACAGTCCCCAGAGTTGTGAGCTGGCTTTTAACTCCTTTTTTCCTGTGGCTGTTCCTACTAGAGCAGGATTTTTCAAAGCACAGGTAGGCTGAGAAGTCAACTCAGGGGTTATAAAATGAAAGACAAGAATAGATGAGAGTACATAATATGTCATAAAGGTTATTGTTTTGTGAAACATTGGTTAGAGATTTGTGCGGGTGTGTGTTACAGGAGCGTTCAGTGTATTTCCTACTCTGGGTCATTAGAATATCCTGTACAAGAATATAAGCTTTTAAGAGTAGGACCTAAAATATTTTTATATCTTTTTACATCGTTAGCAAAGCATCTTAAGAGAGGAGGTGTTTGACAAGTGTTTGCGTGAGTGAATGAATGAATGGGCAAGTAGATTTTATGTAGTCTGTTCCCTTTCCTGCCAGGTGTACATCCAAGCACACACAGGCAGAGTGTGATATGCCGTGTACATATTTGCTGCCACAGATATGACTCAGTTATGCTTAGTCCACATGTGGGTACTTTGATTTCTTCAAAAATGCTTCTTAAAGCACCACATATAAATTGCCTTAGCCTCAACCAAGTGCTCCCTAAATGTTTATTAACTTTAAAAGATGGCAGTCACTGTAAAAGCAGTCTTTACCCAGGAGGGAGTGTTTTGAAAAATTCAGGGTACTGCAGACTAAGCACAGCAGCCTTATACAATTGGGCCCTTTAAAGGGCAAATAAGCTCTGCTGTGGAAAAACAAGACCCAGGCTGGAAACAAGGTCCCCAGTGGACTGTTAGCCAGTGCAGCCAGGCACACATCCACGGGCTCAGCACGATAGAGAACACCACCATTTGGAGAGATTTAAGGCAGCAGCAGCCCCACCGAAGAACACAAGGCCTGCTGAGCTCCCGAGAGGATGCCAGGGAAAGTAGGTCATGGGGGAAGTGAGTCCGGCAAAGGGACAGGCTCTTCTAAGAGCCAGGGCAGTGTCATTCTTCCTAGTCTCCCCAGACGGCTGTCTCATACCTAGCATTAACTTTCTCAGTGTCCCTTCCAGAACGAAGCGGGGATCTGAGCAGTAGGGCACTGCACTCCTGAGAATGTGAAAAATGCCTGTGTGTCCGTGTCAAGTACTGCATGCTTAACTTCTCAGAGCAAGGCCAAGGGGAGAGGTCTCGAGGCAGCCCCCACACTATGGGACACTTCCCAGGGCAAGGGCAAGAGGACATACCCACACAGCAGCCCCCACACCACAAGGTGCTTCCCAGAGCCAAGGTCAAGGAGAGATACCCACAGAGCAACCCCCACACCACTGGGCACTTCCCAGAGCAAGGCCAAGAAGAGACACCCACCCAGCAGCCCTCATACCATGAGGCGCTTCCCAGAGCCGAGGTCAAAGCCTCACCACCTCCTGGGCTCCAACAGGGTAATCATTCCCTTTGAAAAGTCAGATGCAGCCTGCCACCAAGGATTCTGTGGGTGGAGGAAAAATGGATAGTGTTTTCCACATTCATGGGATCCATTCCCATCTGGACAGCTGTCCGCATTTACCACGAACTCAAAAGGAAAAAATTGTCTGTCTTAAGGGGAGAATGAGAGGGAAACTTCTTGATATTACTGTATGGTATGTTAAAGTTCACCACTTTACATTTAGAAAATGAATAGAGAAGCTCAAAATATAAATTATCCTTAGGGAAGCTAATTGCCAGTAATAATACTGAATGAAGTCCTTTGGATATTTTTCATTCTTGGCCAGAAAAGCCTGCCTCAGTAGATTTCATGGAACTTGTTCTTTATTTTGGAAAAAGAAAGATGGACTGAATTGAATGGGAATCTCCTTCCAAAATGTCCGGGCATCTCGAAGAAGCTTAAAGCAAAGGAGGTGTGGCCACCCGCCATCTAGGAACAACAGAGGACCAGGCAGGAGGCGAGTGCATCTCCCAGGCTGGGTGGAGGCCGCCACGCTGGGTGGCACTGGGTCAGCTGTGGTTTAACACATTATTTATTCCCATTTAAAAATCCAATTTACCTTTGACATGGACAATGATTTCTTGGCTAACGATACTGAGAAAGGGAAACGTGGTCCTTTTTCTGTTTGTTTGCCCTGAAAGGGACAGTTTAACATAGGCAAACCATCAAAGCAACTTGCAACACTTTTGCTGTGCACAGAAGTTCTCTGAGCAAGTATTTAAACGAGACCATCTCTCTAACCATGTCACCTGACTAGTGGGGAAACTCCCGTCCCTACTGCTGACATGGCTGTCCCACTGCAGCTAGTGACTGAGATTGAACAAAACATGGGTCTACAGACAATTCCTAGTCCCAGTTTTCTATCTTCATTTCTTTCCTCCTATGACGTTGAACCCCTCTTCCTGTGAAAGAATCACCCCAGCAGAACTGGGGTGATTTTGCCCTCTAGGGGCAACTGGCAACATCTGGATACATTTGTGGTTGTCACAACTGGGAAGGGGGCATCTCTACTGGCACCTAGTGAGTAGAGGTCATGTATGCAGTTAAGTGTCCCGCAGCACATAGGACGGCCCCCACTGCAAAAAACTACCTGACCCAAAGTGTCAGTCCTGAGGCTAAGAAACCCGCTCTAGAGCATTTTTCTTAGTCTCAGCTCTGATTCTCTCTGCTGCCACACCCTGCCTGTCACAAAGTCCTGAGGCTCTTACCTTGCAGCCCCTCCTGCCTCAGCGCTTGACTGTGTCCCGTGCGTGCAGAGCATCCAGACCCTCAGTGCTTCCCAACGACTGTTGCCACACACCCCAGTCAACACCCTGCTCAGCCCCGAGGTTCCAACACAAATCCATCCAGATAGCGCCAGATCATCTCTCCGTCTAGCTCTAGTACTGTAGTCCTCTGCCCTCAGTGCACAACAGAATCAACTAGGGAACCCTAAATATGTATACTCGGCGTTTGGACCCAATCCAGCTCCATTAATTTGTAGCTTCGTAGCATGAGGCCTGGACTTCAGTCATTGGGAAAGTTCTGAGGGTTTTCCATTGTGTGGCCAGGGTGGAGAACCAGGCTTATGGGCTCCCTGTAGCCTGCTGAGAAAGTACCAACCCACCCCTGAAACCACGGCTCTCCCACCACTCGTTTGCTTCTCAGCTCCAGCAGAACTGACTCCTGCTTCATATGCCTGCCCTGTGCCACCCTGCTCTGAAGCCTGCTCCCGGAAGTCTCCACATCCAGAAGGTCTTCTCTACCCACCCGAATCACCACTAGTGGAAATCCTGTATATCCTTCAGGGACCATGTCACAGGCCATCTTCTTTATGATGCCCTTTCTGAGGTCGACCTGAGACCTGAGACCCAAGGTCCATACCTCCCTGAAGCCCATAGCCTGTCTCAGGGATGTCAACACATCTGACCCTGTGTTCTAGTGAGTGATAGGCTCTTCTGTCCTTACCATTCCCCCCTGGTCCTCCCACACTAATCAAACCATCAACTCATGGAAAGTTCAGACTCAACCTGCTTTCAAGGGCAGCTTTCCAGCACCGAGCACAAGCTTCAAGCTTCACCTGTAGCCAGGGTTAGGACAGGCTTGGCCAGAAGAGCAGCCCAGAAAATGACAGAGCCAGACCCCTCAGCGGCCTGGGCCCAAGACAACCTGGAGGCCACACTTCAGCCACCATTGCCTTGTCTCTACGGCTTGACCCTCAGCATCTCACGGCTTTCATCAGCACCCTGCAAATACCAAACACGCACCCCATGCTTCCTCTTTACCTAGAAAAAGAAATCCATGTTAACCCAGCAAATAGACTCAGCTTCCTCTGCCTATAAATTGCCAGAGCGCTGGGTTCTCACATGAAACAGCTTGTAATGCTGAAAACTCAGAACGGCAGGAGCGTGCTGACCTGCCCAGGTCTCCTGGAGCTTGGAGTTGGCCTTGCAGGCAGCATGATGGCTGGTTTGGAGGATGTTTTAAAATCCTGATAGTCCTTAATTTTAGAAGGATGATTGTAAAAATATACTTGCAGTGCCATAAGTGAGACCAGCATGCTAATCACCCCTAAACAAAGAAGGTATTCTGGACTCTTCGTATTTGCACAAACTAAATATATAGCTGTGAGACCACAGGGGACAGAGCCCAGGAGGGGCACAGATGCCCATCCCTAGGGAGCGCCCTGTGGGTGTTGGCCCTGACTGCTGTGTAGCCTGGGATCAGCAAATACTGGTGCTCTCTGCTGCACTGTGGGGCAGCGTGTGCTGACTTCTCCGGGAGGGAATGGGAGGTAGCATGTGCCCTCAGAGCTCTTTACAGGTAGGACATGTTGATCAAGGCCCTGCGTTCTCAGGCCTCTCAAGGACCCTCCCATGAGACAGGAGAGAGAAGAGTCAGTGCACACAATCCAGTAGACATGAGAGGCCAAAGGTCAAAAAAAAGAAAAGAAACAAGCAAAAAGATAGCTCCCCTACAACTATCACCTCCAGATTGCATTCACTGTTGCATTCCAGCCTGTTTTCATCTGTACTGCGTCAGTGCCAGACCTAGACAGAAGTGGCCAGACCCAGTTGTCATCTTTGTTGCTGGGAGTCTACACTTTATCATGTTTGTTCAGTCATCTCCCCAAAAGTGTCTCTTGGGAACACTCAAAGGCTTCCTGAGCTGAAAGGATCTTTGCCTGAGCTCTCTCTTTTTTTTTTTTTTGAGTTGTAGTCTCACTCTGTCGCCCAGACTGGAGTGCAGTGGCCGCTCCCGGCCACCGCGGCCTCGACCTGCTGGGCTCCAGCAGTCCTTCTGCCTCAGCCATCCAAGTAGCTGGAACTACAGGCGTGCACTACCACGCCCAGCTAATTTTTTTGATTTATTGTAGAGATGTGGTCTCGCCACATTGCCCAGGTGGGTCTCGAACCCACGGGCTCAGGCAATCCACTCATCTCCGCCTCCCAAGGCGCGGGATTACAGACTGAACCACCGAGCCCGGCCTGAGCTCTCTCTTAAAAAAGGGAATTCTAGGGGCATGTGGGAGATGGAGAGGGAGGGGAAAGGTGAGGGTGGAAAGTTGAGTTCAAGAGACTGGTTCTCCAGAACTTGGGGTTGGAGATACAAAACCTGAGTTCCAAAATCGTCTCTGCTACTTACTGGTCGAGTGTGCTCTTGGGTAAGTGATTAAACCTCTTTAGGCTTCAGTTTCACTGAGTATGGGAATTCAGCTCAGTGTAGACTCACCAGTAGGGATGCGGCACTGGGGCTGCAGAGGTGAGCAGGAGAGGACCTTGCTACTGGGTCTGCCTGAAAACAAGTGGGCAGACCTCATTCCTGACAGTCGCTGTGGTAACTGCCATGCAAGGTCACTGGCCTCACCCTCACTGTCCCCACAGGGTGGTCAGAGAACCAGATGCAAGAAGCTTCCAGAATGCCAGAGTTTCACACAGATGGAGGCCATCATTGTTATCCTTATAACCATATTCTATGCAGGTCAGCCTGATAATAAAAAGACAGAAAAGAAACTAGAGGCTGGTTCTTTGAGCTGACGAATGCTAATGTGACTTTATAGTTACAATTTAAGTCTCAAGTGTTTGGGGGATCTGAATTATATTTTACTGAAATGTTGAATTACTACAACCCCAAAATTATTTCAGGTGCGCATATTGAATTAGACTTTCTTCTCGCACTGTAGGTGGCTGAGTTTGTACAGTCTCTTCTGGGCTGCGAAGAGCATGCCAAGTGTTTTAAGAAAGAGGTAAGAAATATATAAATGATATATGTTTCTGTACTTCTAGACCCAGAATTGCTTTGTTTGCATTTACTTATGTGTAAATAAAAGCAGCCTGGGGAGGCAAAGGAAGGTGACCCGGCAGGAGCAGAGCCCAGCAGTGTGACATGGGACAAAGCAAGACCAGCCTCCACCTCTGGTGCTCTTGCATTAGCCCGGCCTAGTGGCAGAGTGCTGCGGCACCTGGCTTGTAGCGCATGCTTTGTAAATGCACTATGTGGTGGAAGAGTAAATGAACATGATTATTAATCAATACCTAGCCTGTCATGAAGCCTCTGCATTGGTGGCATTGAGCCACATTAGGGGAAGGAAGGAACCATGGGACTGTACCCAGGGAGGAGAGCGGATTTGTCTGCTCCAAAGAGTGGGACCATCCTGTCGATCCCTGCCCTATACCTGCTTCCAGAGAAATACGGAGAAGCCCCAGATCCCACGGGCTTTCTGCTTCCTGCTTCCTCTTGGTTGGACCTGTTTAGCATACTTATTGGAATTAGTATCTGCAGCCATAGGGTCCCTGGAAGAGACTGGACTAGCTACAGGATAAGGCAGATAGCAGCGCTAGCACTTGTTTATTGTGGGCTTACCATATGCCTGGCTCTGTGAGAAGCACTTGACAACTATTGTATTTTGAGCTTCACGACAACCTGACAATGGTAGGTTACCCTTGAAGTAGCCTACACTCAAGAAGGGTAGCAGAGGTGGTTTTCAGGCCATGTGTACCTCCCTCAGTCTTTGCTCTGGAACTCTCCAAGAAAACTCCCTCCTAGAGATTCTGGGAAGCAGCACATACCCCTGCCTCTCTCGAGTTCAGAGCATGCATGGGTCAGGGCAGGTACCCATTGAGTCTTGGGTCCTGGACCACTCTGAGTGCATCAGGGGCACATAGCACTGGAGTCAGATGGCCTCAGTCTGGGCACCTGCCATGGAGACATGGCTCTTGGCAGGTCAAGTTGCTCACACTTGACACTTGCTAACCAGCACTACCACATTGGGCACATCACTGAACCTGTCTTACCTCTGTCCCGTGCAACACAGACTTACATGAGATGTTAAAAGGTTAGGATTAGTGTGTTTAAAGCACCTAGCCCAGTACTTGTCCCAGAGCAGGGGCTTAAAAAAGGCAGCATTATACAACAAAGGGGCTCCTCTGGGGTCTAGCAAGCCCTACCTGAAATCCCAACTTTGCCTCTTAGAAACTGTGTGACCTTGGGCAAGTCATTAGGCTTATATTTTCAGGTTTCCTCATCTATTTTATGGGACTATCGGGAGGATCGAACACATGAGGGTATAATAGATTATTATAGCGCCATAAATGTTAGCTGTTATCATCACCATCATTACCTTATTCTAGGACAGCTGGCTATTTGGCCAGCGAGTTTGCCTGAAAATGCTGGCACCAAGCCCAGGTTAGGGTATGGCGGTAGCATAGTCCTTTCCTCTGCCTTCAGGAAAACGTCCTTTATCCCATGGGAAAAGTAGTCTCTTCCCTAGTTGGAACAAGTCTTCATCAGACAATTATATGTAGAATATTTTAAGACTAGTTTAAATTTTAAAACTTTAAGACCCTACCTGGGAGTGGGCAGGGTAATCCTATTAGTGAGACACTGACACTAAGGGGTTTGTATTATTAAATTTGAAAAATCTTAGAACCACAGTGCTGAGCTATGGTGTTACCATAGAAAGCCCTTTCATTTCTGTCTTCTTGGTTCTGGAACCAGGAATCATCTGATCCAGGCTGTGTCAATTAGTGACCTCCAGCAGTCCCCACAAACCAAGCTCTGAGATCATTGGGGCCCCCCAAAACCTGTGGAAAAACAGATTCCACAGTGGCCATTCTCTGTGGTGTGAATCTCAGGAAAGCTATTACATTTCAGACCATATTTTTTTTAATTTAAAGTATTTAATTGTCAAATAAGGATTGAACATATTCAAGGTGAATAACGTGATTTGATATACAAACACAATGTGTAATGACTACCATAACCAAATTAATGAACATAATCGTCACCACTCATTCTGTACATCACAGCCCCAGACCTTGTTCATCTAGAGCCAGGAATTATTCTGAGACCATTTTAAAAGTTTAAAACATTTATCCTGTATCCATTTTTGTTGATAATAGTATGTCTTATGAAAAAACTTTAAATAAAGGAGAATTAAAAGGATAAAATTTTAAAACCAACCACTGTTTCACCAAAGATAATTTCTGTTAGCATTTGCTGTAAAGACTTGAAGTATTTAATTATGTATATGTATACATGCAGTCATGCATATTTAATTTTACAAATTAAGACTGAGATCTTCCTGTATCATCATACCATGTTTTGTTGCTCCATTTATGAAAGATTTCCCAAATCATTAAATGTCTCATGGAGACATGAATTTTGCTGACTCCATAGGTCCATCCTATGACTGTACCATAATTTATTTCCTTCTGCTATTACTGGAACACTGAGTTGTTTTCAGTATTTTACTATTATAACTAATATTAGAGTATACACATTGCACATGATTCTCTTGGGAAAAAATCCTGGAGATTTCCTTGGTGGCACCTTTAAGGCTCTTGATACACAATCAGGTGAAGATTTCTAAAACACAACAATAGAAATTTAGCTTGGAAACAATTTGTGTATACTGAATTCATATTTAATGGAGTGAGCACCTTTTTAATTTAACTTAATGTCAGAGTCCTACAAGAAAAAAAAGGGGTCAAGTAATCTTTGGGACTAAGCTGTGTGAGAGCCAATGTCATTCCCCATCGCTACTGAGCTCTGCAGGGGGGTTGGGACGGGTTCAGCGTCACACTCAGCACCCAACAGTTACTAGTGGGTAAACAGACTTTAGTGGCAGAATATCTTTATTTGTGTCAACTTATGCATTTGCAGCAGATCGATGGCAAAGCCTTCCTGCTTCTGACACAGACTGACATCGTCAAAGTGATGAAGATCAAACTGGGCCCCGCACTGAAGATTTACAATTCTATCCTGATGTTCAGAAACTCCCAGGACCTCACTGAAGAAGATGGCACTTCAGGCCAAGAAGTCAGGGGATAGATGCTCTCCCTAAACTTCCGCTGGCACCAGGACTCATGCTCTTTCAGCAATAAAATTGGAGCAGACTAATTTGATTTTGATGTCCTCATGGCCATATCCACGTTGAATCTGAACCTTTTAAAATGTCTGTCGTTTATACGTTTGGAGGATTTTGAAGACTGATCAAGCGCCAATGGCTCAGAGGCTTACGCACGCTTTTGGGTTTTGGTGTATAAACATCATTATCCTGGGTGGGATCCTTTCAGTGCTAATGTGTTTACGACAGACAGACCAAAGAAGCCCACACGTACACCTTTATTTTCTTCCCTCCCAATAAGAGAAACCACTTTACAAGCAAAAAACTCTCAAGTGGTAAAATATTAGGAAAACGGTATTCATAAATACATTGTTATTGTTTTCACCAGAACAACACCCGAGCTTGGCTCAGATCTGCCATCTGTGTATAGTGAGTCTAAGAGACAGAGGCCTGGTGCTTTAAAAAGATTTTTGTGTACTTTACTCAGGAAAGTGTGAATCTTTTAAAAATAATTATAATAAGCACATGTTTCCATGATGTATTAATTCTCCTTTTTGTTCCATTAGCCATTTCTCAGTTGTGTTCCCAAGGTTTACTGGAGCCTATAAAAAGCAGCATGCCCGGGAATAACAAGAGGACACTGGGTATTTTCAAAAGCTGGCAAAACCCTGTAAGGACCCTCCCCCAGCCCTAACGCCTCTGGGACACTGTCCTAACACTGGCATGACTGGCAGGCCAGATACTCACCTGTACAGAAAGCCTCTAGGTTCCTCCTCTGAAGGCAATTTCTGGAGGATTGATTGATTTCTCCTGCAGTCTGCTGGTACCTGTGTAACAAGGAGCTGTGTTACATCCGGGGCCTTGTGTACATCTTTACAAATGGAGACACACTCTTAAAAGGGAAGACCTCAAAAGTAGGGAGCTTGGCACCTATTCTCTGTTTGAAAAATTCTGACTCATTATCAGACCTTACTTGTTTTTATAAGTGGTTGTATCCAACTCCTAAGAGGTGTGGAGTCAGTCCCACAGTTCTGAAAGACTAGTACCTCTTTTCTTATACTTCCCACTCATAAGTAGTAACAGCTACAAACGCCCTCATGAAAGTGGAGACCCGCCATCTTGGGGTGGGGAGAGAAAGGGAAAAGACAAAAAAGGGACTCAGACCTGATCGTATCTGTTTGCTTCACTAAGAATGTTGTGGCTTAAAAAAATTGATTCTGTTTGGAGAATTTCTCAAACTTTAGTTCACTGGAGAAAAATAAATATCTTCTCTAAGAGGTGTGCATATACTATGATTCTTTAGAACCTTACCTAAATGGAATTTTAATTTATTATTGGTTGGTGTCAATTTTGTTTCTGCATAATTTTGTTTGCTTTGTTTTGCTTTGCTTTTTGTACACTTACCATGTGCAATTAAAATTCCTGCTTCTGCTGTGTTAAAATTTTAATATATTTTAAGTGATAATAAACAGATAAAACAAAATCCATACCTCACTACCATAACGAATTTGCTTTAAACCTGTTCCTGCACCACAAGAGTCTGTTTTCTTAGCCTTAGAAGAACAAAGGTAACTTTGTCTACATTCATTAGACAGGAAGGCAGACATGTTTGAATACCATGTTCCTTGGGATATATTTCCCTAGAGATATGAAATTGGGTTTTTTTAATTAATAAGAACTTCAGAATTGCTCATTGTATATGCTCCATGGAAGACCTGAAATTTGTAGTTTGTATATTCAATATATGTCATTTCAACAGAAGGACCTACAGGACAGATAATACCAAGCCAAAATGGAATTGAACCACTCTGTTCCCAGGAGACAGTGGTATAATTTTTCTACCACAAGGACGTCACTGGAGTTAGGAAGGGATGTGCAATCAGCTCTTGAGAGCTGGTCCGTGCAGTTCCCAGCACACTGCAGATATCCACAGCCTTCACATTTGCTCACCCCTCTGCCTGAGGTAGTCTCTCCTCTGCTCACTTCCTCAATAGACTCTCTTAACACTCTCACCATTAGGTTCCTGACTTACCTAATGGCCTTCCAGTAGCCTGTACCTCCCCATTGTATTGCTGATCACTCTTGATTTATTTACTTTTGTCTATCACACCTAGTCTAGAAAAGCTGTGAGGACAGAGACTGGGGCATGCACATCACTTATTCCTAGCGCTTGACATGTATCTGGCACTTAATTGCCACACAGTAAGTGACTTGTTGCATCGATGCATGAAGCAAGACAATCAAACTCAAATACAAATCCCAGCACTGCAGCTTCCTAAGATGGTTTGACATCTCTGTATAATGAGAAAATAATGCCTGCATCAAGTGTTTTTGAATTTTATTTTGGGGATGCGTGCATGTATGTAAATGTAAAATATACAACACATATAAGGTGCTGGCAGCTATTAAGTAGGTGGCAGGAAAACAATAGCAACAACAATCCATTTCTTCAAGTTGACAGAGGACCAAGCCTCCAAAATCTTTGAAGTACAAACCCCTAAGTAGGCATTAAGCCTGACCCAGCCTCCAGGGACCCTGCAGGGCCCACTCTCCCTAGTGTGGCTCATGTTCAGAGGGCTAAGGACACACCCTGCATGCTATTGCGGGCTCCTGGCTGCCCTGGACCAGGCTCTACCCACATCCAGCTTCCATGCCAGCCAGTTTCCCTTCCCCCTCTCCCAGTGTTCTGTGGGAAGGTTTGAAACATTAAGAGATTGAAATACCTCACTCTGGCAGAAGAATCACCACTACTGTCAGGGGCCAGACAACATCTAGAAATGACACAAGAGATATGACAGCCTTCTTTCTCCTGGGCACTAGCTCCAGCCTCTTACTCTCCTCTTTTCCTGACCTCCACTTGGAATATGAGTGGAATCAGGCACAAAGCAAAAAAATGTCAATAGGGCTTCAAGAATACAAACATCTAGGTTATTAGAAAGCATTCCCCCAAAGGACCATTTGTACAACACAATCATAAATACCATGATGCTGGAAATTAGATCATTAGCAAGAATCCTAAGGGAGCTTGTGACTTCTGAGACCAGAATCTTTGAATGCCTACAGTTTCAGATAACTCTTACCAAAATAAATTTCCCTCACTTGCAACAGCCTTAGGACATTTTAAAAGAAAAAACCTATCATTAACAATCTCTGAACACCTCTTTTCTCCCTCTGTGATTAGAAATCCTGCCCTTGGAGAGCCCATATACTAAAGAGTTTCTAAGAGTGACAGCTCAGGAGATTGCTTGTTAGTACAAGACTCCAAGTTACGACACCATTCTCTTGCTGAGTGCTGACTTTCAAACATACCTGGGATTTCTTTGTCTATAGACTCCATCTTCCAAGTTAGGGTTGGAGACAGTGAAGGACCCTGGAAAGTACGTGGGCTTCGGGGGAGGCCTGGGGTTGAATCCTGAGCCCTGTGCCTTGCCAGTTGCGTGATCTAGAAGCATTTCTCAACCACCCAGCAAATGACCCACTTGACACATCTACTCATTTCTCTTGGAATGCTGAGTTTTGCTTCATATCATTTTAAGGAACATTCAGGTTGTCTCTGCAATCCCTAGGGCTGAAGAATATATTCCTAGATATGAAGTGTTCCTATAAATATATTCTTAATATTTGAGAATATAGGACATGAATATTTTCTCTTATAAATATATTCCTCTCTAGCCAGGCTCGGTGGCTCAGCCTGTAATCCCGCGCCTTTGGGAGGCTGAGGTGAGTGGATTGCCTGAGCCCGCGGGTTCGAGACCCACCTGGGCAGCGAGACCTCATCTCTACAATAAATAAAAATCAGCCGGGCGTGGTAGCGCATGCCTGTAATTCCGGCTACTCGGAAGGCTGAGGCGGAAGGATCGCTGGAGCCCAGCAGGTCGAGGCTGCGGTGGCCGGGAGTGGCCACTGCACTCCAGTCTGGGCGACTGAGTGAGACTCCGACTTAAAAAATATATATATATGTATACATATATATATGTGTGTGTATATATATATATATCTATATATATATGTGTATGTATGTATACATGTATATGTGTATGTATGTATACATGTATATGTGTATGTATGTATACATGTATATGTGTATATGTATGTATATATGTATATGTGTATATGTATGTATATATCTATATGTGTATATGTATGTATATATGTATATATGTGTGTATGTATGTATATGTATATATGTGTGTATGTATGTATATGTATATATGTGTATGTATATGTATATATGTATATGTATATATGTATATGTGTATATATGTATATGTATATATGTATATATATTCCTCTCAAAAACTTATATTTATGAAGAATGTAATTGTTAATAGAGTCTTGAATATTCAGTATCCTTATAAATATATTTTTTCTATGACTGAATACATTAATAATATATTCACAGGACATCCTTTTTCAAAAAATATATTTTTGTTATACTCAGTCTCTATCTCTGCCCCCTCAGTTTCCAGCTACAGCAAGAGCTGGGACAGCCAGACTCCTTAAATTCATGCTGTGGAGACAAAATGAAAACGGGTCAACTAAAACTCAAGAGTAAAACAAGATCACCTGCCGACAGGGCCATTTGGTGAATTGGTGATCAGCAATTTGATTTCTTAGTGAAACTGCAGGCTCCCAAGTCTTTGTATCATGTATTCCTTTCAGGGGAATGATAGGATTTGAATCGGTAATCCAGAATATACACCCTTGTTGCCATGTGGAATACCATGGGGTATCGGGCAGCTGCGAAGACTCAGCTCCCGGAGGGTGAGAGCTGGGGGCAGCAGCATGTCACAAGCATGCGTACCCCTCCAGTGGGGCCCGCGGGATTCTAAGGGCAAACTGCAGATGTCCTAGTCACTATGGTCTGATGGTGGCACTTAGGAAGGACTGGGAAATGGAGGCGAGGCAGGGCGAAGGGTAGATGAAGTAATGAAGTTTAAAAACAACCAATAAAAAGGGAGTGGAACGCAAAAAGTGAGATTTGAGTTTAAAATATTGAGAATTAATTTCTTTTTCTCCAAATAGCTTTATTTTATGGGATCAGACTAGTTGTTTTGTGCCCTGCTTTGCACAAGGCAACACCCATCCATTTCCCGTTTACTTCAGTTTGAAATTAGATTGTGTTCCCTTTGATTTAGGAATCTGGGCATCAAGGCAAACTGATGTATGAAGAACACGAAGTGCTGAAAAATCCTAGGTTAAACCCAGATGTTCCCACAAAGGATTGAACTGCAATCACTGAACTGCAACTAATAGCTGCTGTACTAAATACGCATGGGAATTATTTGGAAATACAAGGGCCTGTATTTTACTGTGAAATATCAGGGTCCTAAAAGTCTTTCAGTAGGAAAAATATCATGAACTCTGGGCTAATATTAGTCCAGTTTCTTTTTTTGTCAAAGAAATAAAATAAAAGATGTTTTTGCAGGATTTCTACCTTGGAGATGCCCATCTCTCTCCATCAGCTAGTTGTGCAAATGGGTCAGGCAGGTGTGGCGTATGCCGCTGGAGGCCGTTGTTTCTCGCTAAATCGTTCCATGATTTGAGGTTAGGATCTGCTCTGACAGTTTGCTTCAGAAGGCTGTGGCGGTTTTGCTTTGTTTTTCCAAGAAAAAGCAATTTGAATTTCATTTGGTCTGGCCTCTTGAAAAAAAGAGTCAATAAGTCAGTCAAAAAATAGTTTATTAAAGGAAAACTCACTCGGGTTACTTGGTGTTGGTAATTTTTTTTTCATTTTTCAACCAATTTGCAAAGCTATTTCTCCAGAACAGCCAGCTTTAACTTTGTTTTAAGAATAAAGTTTTCTTTCACAAGCCCTTGCTGCTATCAGTTTGAACCCTAAGGTTGTCCCTCTTGGACCTTCAGAGAGATTTGCCCCAATGCCTTTTAAGCCAGGAAAATTAAGTCTAAAAATAATAGGAAAAATATCACAGATAACACACCCATGTTGATTCTGAAATTTCCTTCAAGTGAATCAACAAATTCAAATTCACCTGAACAGATGTCCCTGTCTGTCCACTGTGGAAATTATTAAATTCAGATATTTTTTGAGAGCCCACTACGTGCCAGGGTCTACTGGCATTTGGGATGTATCTGCAGACAGATCAAGTAAAAATTCCACCTTTCATGAAGCTTAGATTCAAGTGGGTGGAGATCGGCAATAAATAATAAGCATAAAAATAGGAAGATGAATAGAGGATGTCTAAAGAGAGAAAAGTCTAGGGTCTTGGACAATGGGGATATGACCTTGCCCATCTACAGATCTCATAGACAATAAGTTCAGGTGGTGCCACTTCATGGAATTCCTCGCAATTGGGCATGTGATTCACACAACACACAGCTGCACATACCCAGTTGTTCCTATGAACCTTTCTGGGTCTTTGTTCACCTCCTGCTATTGTTAACTGTGAATATGTTCTCCTGTCTCCTCAGAGGACCTAGAACAGTCCTCCACACAGAGGTGCCTGTCTATATATTGCCAAGTGATTGGCTCA